TGTTGTTGTTAAGTGCTGTTGAGTTGGTTCCATGTTGTTGTTGTTAGGTGCCATAGAGTCGGTACTGTTGCCACGCTTGAGTCCATCAATGCTGCCACTTGGCCAATCCATCTCGCTGGGGGTCTTCCTCTTTTTCCTCTGACCCTCCACCTCACCAAACATGATATCCTTCTCCAGCCACTGGTCCCTCCTGACAATATGTCTGAAGTATGAGAGATGAAGTTTGGCCATCCTGGCCTCCAGGGGGCGCTCTGGCTGCACTTCTTCCAAAACCGATCTAATTTGCCCATAGAATCCTTCAATATTACACATTGAAGCCTGAATTTTTCTTCAGGTCTCTTTTGGTTTTCTAACTCCAGGCTGAGGTCTTCTCAAGCTGCCCTTTGCAATTTTCCGTTTAGCCTTTTATTTTGATCATTTCTTCCATTTGCATTAGCTTCTCTATTTTCAAGAGTAAGTTTCAGAGTCTCATCTGACATTCATTTTGGTTTTTTCTTTCTTTCCTGTCTTGTTAATGAACTTTTGCTTTCTTCCAGTATAATGTTTTTGATGTCATTCCACAACTCTTCAGGTCTTCAGTCATTAGTGTCTATTAATGTATCAAATCTGTTCTTGAGATGTTTTCTAGCTTCAGGTGGGGTATACTTAAGGTCATATTTTGGTTTTCAGACTTGTTTTAATTTTTTTCAGCTTCAGCCTGAACTTGCATTTGAGCAATTGATGGTCTGTTTCATAGCCGGTCCTGTTTGGACTGAAAAAGTATTTGCAATGAATAGGACATTGGCCTTGCAAGATTCCATCCTGTGATCTCTTGTGTCATTTCTATTACCAACCCCATATTTTCCAGCTACTGATCCTTCCTCATGTTTCCAACTTTCACATTCTTACCACCAGTCATTATTAATGCATCTGGATTGCTTGTTTGGTCAGACTAAAGAAGTTGGTAAAAATCTTCAATTCCTTCTTTGTCATCAGTATATGGTGCATGTTACGTGTCATTGAGCCGGTTCAGACTCATAGTGACCTGTGTTCACTTAATAATTTACTTCTATTAATTGGTTTTCCTTGTGTTGTTGTTGTTAGGTGCCGAGTCAGTTCCAACTCATAGTGACCCTCTATAGGGTTTCCGAGGAGTGGCTGGTGAGCTTGAACCATCGACATTGCCGTTTCGAAGTCCAGAGCATTAACCCACAGAGCCATCCCAGGACTTCGGTCTTCCTTGTAGCAGTATGGATGCACCCTGTCACTGACAGTTTTGTACTTCAAGGCAGACCTTGAATTGTAAACCGTAGGTGCCTGATCATTGGTGAACAAGTGAGTGGGAACCTGATTCCTCCTGAAGACCTGAGGGATAAACTGCTGGCAAGAGCCCAGCTAGTGGAAATTAAGCATTTATTGAATGCCACCTAAATGTATATCAGGGCATGGGAGGTTCTGAGTGTGAATCAGGTTAACAAGCACAATTGTCCCCATTTACAGGTAAAACCTGAAGGAGTTCTGGTAGTGTGTTGTTGTTGTCAGGTGCCATCGAGTCAGAACCGACTCATAGTGACCCCATGCACAGCAGAACGAAACAATGTTCGATCCTGGGCCAACCTCACTACCTCTGCTACACTTGAGTCCATCAATGATGCCACCTGGC